ACACTGTGTCACAGCATCCAGTACAGATCTGGAGACAAACGCTACATGTTAGTTGGACCCAGGATGAGTATAGGATCTACTATAGTTCCTGGCAGTCATGCAAATACACTAGTGCTCCCTGACAGGAGAAGGACATCTGAGGAGGTAAGGCGTATATAAACAACTGTTCTTTTTTTTAAATGATTTGCTTTCATATTTTAGCATCGAAGCACTTGTAGATGTGTTTGCTAAAATCAGCAGATTTATCAACAATATAACAGGCGAAACAGACAATATCTCCTCAACAGACAATATCTGTGGAATTTTAAGGTTGATGGCCAATTTATCGTGAGGGTATTTAAGAGTTTTTACTGGCCGCAGTTAGATTTTTAAATTTGTTTTCTTTTCTTTTACCATAATACATTAATTCAGAAAGTCACATATAGTCGTTATTCAGTTGCTGAGCCAAATAAAACTTTTTAGTTAGGATATGGAGATGTCATTATCATGGTTAGATCACGAGAAAGCGTGTGATAATTTGACTATGAGCATAAAATCAAATGGTGTATTCGTTGCTTTTAAACATTATTGAAAGTAGAATATTATTTATGGAAGTTGTGGCATGTCTGATGCTGTTTATTTGATTTCACTGCACATACTGTAAAGTGTATGCTTTCCTGGGATTTAGTATGCTCTGGCAAACAGTACAGGTACTCTTTGGTGTTCTGAGGCAAACTTTCTAAGTCGTTTCATGACCCATTTTCGTTTGCTATATAGTGATTACATGGTCAGGACTAGGTTGATATGGCCAGTACAATACAAGTTAATTTAGGCAGATGTCGATGGTGCATTCAGCAAAAAACTTTAACGATCATATCAACAAAATGTAAATGGACAGACTTTAAATCAGTAGCAACCGCTATCCTTGGTGCTGAACACGTTTTCGTACATTTCTCTCTGTTCATAAAGTCTTAATCGACATATCAAAACACGTATACTTTATTTCAGCCTTTTATTTCATACTGTTTAATCACGCAAAGTAAACATTGTATTTGTATTTCCCCACGTATCAATTTGAATGATCTCAACCTTTGTTTTCTTTGTATTCTATTTATTAGAAGGAAGTTTTGCGTTAGGAATGAAAAGCCCTCTCTTTATGTTTTCACTCACCCCGCATTTTGGGGGTTCTGTTTCGAGATAAATAAAAACAAAAAAGAACACACATATATTCTAGCATTCACCATAAGAGCTACTAGCTTCTACATTACCGCAGTGATGGTTTAGGATCGCATGGTGTCAGTACAACTAAAAAAAAAAGTCAGCGCTGCATGTGCTGGTCGTCACTACATCTCGGTTCAGCCTCTTTTTAGCTTCGGCAGTTCGCTGTTGACACCGTCGTTTCTGAGCTGTTTTGCTGCAACCTTTGGAAATACTCAATCTGTGGTCACGTCTGTCGGATAAAAGGGTGAACATTTTCACACGTGGATGTTTTGTATTCGCTCGCTACGATGCAGTTGTATTTTGTGAGTGATTGCTGATGTTAACGGGTTTAACCATGGAACAAAGAAGACGCGAGAAGCGAATGGGTTCTCGGTGTGTAGCCGGATGCGTTGTTGCTGCGTTTTTGTGGAGTGTGGCTTCAGCACAATTGAGATATTCCATCTCCGAGGAAACTAACGAAGGAACAGTGGTTGGAAATGTTGCAAAGGATCTGGGATTAGACAAAAGCACTCTGAAAGACAGGAAGTATCGGATTGTT